CATGAATATCTTTGGGATTGGTAGACATATTTAATGCAGAAGTCAGAAGAGAAACCTCGAACAATATTAGTCCTAAAATCTACACTACAACAGTGCAGAAAAAACATTATCACTGATTTTATTGGTGATAAAGTTTTGGGATGACATTTCCATTATGCTACATCAGATTTAGAAAAAATTCTTAAACGTTTTAATAGCGTCATTCAAGCTCGAAAACTTATTGTTATAAATGAGACTGGAATGTCTAGTAGGGACTGGCATAGATTTAATGTGCATCTCAAATCTCTTATAATGGAAGAAATGGTGACTATAGAGCGTAAAGGTCTCGAATCTAAATGAATAGATGATTTCGCTAGGTATATAGTTATAAGCAATCAAGATGCTCTGATCAAGATAGATATAGAAGATTCTCGTGTAGTCTGTTATGATGTTTCGTCATGTTATAGTGATAATACAGCATATTTTAAAAGATTACAAAATGTATTTAACCATCCCGATGCGCTTGGAGTGGTTATGAAATATCTCCTTAGTCATGATATCTCAGATTTTGAATCACAAAAAATTTCTGTAACTAAAATAAAATCAGATATAATGCGTGATCAGCTTCCTACTTCCATTTGATTTATAATCAATTATATTTCCCTATAGTGCGAAAATAAAGTAGTCAAACTAAGTTGTACATCACTATATCAAAATTATCTTGAATGGTGTGGAGAGAATGGGGAAAAACCATATAATAGTGCTATACTAGAAAAAAGTTTTTACTAATTGGCATTGATCGGACGCATTCATAAGATAATGAAGTAAGAGTAGATCAGTATATTCTTGACCACTTCAAGATCATAGCCAAGTTCTGTAAATCTGGCTTGAGTGATATAGAAGAATTTTCTGATACACTTCAAGCTGACGTGCCCTTAATGATATCACAGATATACTTATATTCAATGTACCAGTCCTGTATCACTCAAAAAAGAATACGCCTCTACCTAGTACTAGTAAAGATAAGAAGGCGGATAAATAGGACGATTCAACCCAAACTCTTTTCAACTATGTGGTAGAAAAAACTGAAGCTCCAGTCACCTCAACATTTGGGACATCTGAAACTATTAAGGCTTCTGAACCATCTGAGCTAGTAATCAATAAACTTGAAACCAGCAAACCCCTCAAGCCTATCGAGCATATCAGTAATATGTTGAAAGAACCTAAACCCAGTAATAATGAAATATTATCTACAAGAACTTGGCGAGAAGAGTGTCTCAGAAAATGGGCTACTGATCATGATAAAGACCTCAATAAGTTTATGATGATTATAAAAAAAGACGTCAACTTATCTCAAGAGTATCAAGACAGGATGATGGCGGACGCAGAAGTCATCAAATTTGCTAGAGAAAATAAGATAGACCTGAATGATTTATTTTATATGACTAGAAGGAAAAGGTTAATAAGCGAAGAAATATATCTCTAGGATTTCGAGGATGTGGAAAAATCCTGGAAGTATATTTATAATGACAAAGAGTGGCAAAAAAATGTAAGCATACACCAGGAGAATGGTATGCTTTAGTAAAGAGCAAATAAGAAGCTGGTTTAGCTGAAGGCGCTGTGCATAAAAAAGGTATTTAGGTAAGAGAGGATCCTAGAGGGATCAGATCTTATGTTCTTTACATATAGGTGATATATAATTTCAAATTATTATTATTTTTTTCACATATCCTATCTACTCGCAATTTTCAAATGTTTGCAGAGCAAACCCTGACCATAGTGGATAGTCTCATAGAGATCCAGCATAAGCTATATCATTATTTTTTCATTTCTCCAATCCTTCGATAGCTTTCACCGACCATAAGATAATAAAATATCAGAATATTTTTTTTGAATTAAAGTTTTTTAGATATAGAATAACCTAATAGTTACGCATAATCTAGTAGTTACTCCACAATCTATATTCACACAGCCATGTCTGTGATTGTAACAAAGTATATTGCAGAGTATAAACTTAATAAAGATATGAGTAATGAAGAACTTAGCCAACATGCCTCAGCATTATTCGAGCTTTTGACAGATAAACTGAAAAGAGATAAGGGTCGTCAGCGCTTTCAGAAAGGGTATAGTTTTAATAAAGAGCAGGCATTTGTATTAGTCTCTGATCAGAAAATTTGCCGAAATAGAAGTCAGATAATCCCTAAAGAAGGAGGGAATGAAGCAGAGAAAGTTAATATATGCCAAATATCCAACATCATCCTAGATGAAGAAACCATCGAAAGTATAACTCAACGTATTATTCGAGATAATCTTAGTGAAAAAGAAGTAAAGGCGATAACTAAGGCTTTAACTATAATGTTCCCTAACCCTATTGCCACCACATCTTGTCTTAGTAGGCTCTGAAGAGAGTTGTGGAAATTCAATACCCCAGAAAAGATAATCTCTGCTACATTAGACGAAGATATAACCTGTACATCTAATAAGATTCAAAAGGAGCATAGGGATTAATGTGAAAACGAAGGAATTGATTTTTCAGATCACTTCTCATTAGAATCGGTTAAGGAGAAATTCGATTTCTATGATGTGTCTAACACACCCGATGTGCAAGCCTTAGCCCAGGGTTGGGATTTGTACTATACTGTATTAGTACAGTACTAGTACAATACTAATACTAGTACTATACTATAATATTAATAAAAATCAGTACATAGTACAATTTAAATCACATGATTTTTTAAAATTTGATTGGTTAATATTTTATAACCAATTATAGTAAGTACAGTATACTTGTACTTAAATGAAAAAATTTAGTATAATGTACTAAATGATGATGATATCACATGATTATTACATTATTTATTATTCATATTTTTTTATTAGCTGATCATTAATAGAAAATTTTTATTATAACAAAAATCAAAAAGGACAACATAAATCATCTTTAAATATAATATCTAAATTCCATTTTGCATTGTCATTTTGAGCTGGATGTTCAATATCCTCAATATCTATATTTAAAAATTTCGATAATTCTTCTATATCTTTAAGTATTTCTAACCATTCGGCTAAATTTTCATCAAATCTTTTTGAAATTGTTTCTACATTATCATCATGATTATTATCATCACTTTCTAATACTTCTTCATTCTCTTGTATTAATGGTAAAATATTTCTTTCAGTTTCAACAATATTTTCTTCTTGATTTTTTTGTAGTTCTGAATTAGGAATTATAATATTTGATTCTTAGTAAAGATGTTGATTATATGTCATATCAGCACATAATTTAGTCATATCTAATGCTCAATTAGACTAATAATTAAAAAAAATAAATAAGTAAATAAATAAATAATATTTTTTTAAATTAAAAATCAATTAAATTATTTACCTTTAATTTATTTCTATTTTTAGTATAATAAAATCCTATACTACTCCATAATCTTTCAACTGAAGCGGTATTGACACAAATACCAAAAATTCGTGTAGCAACAGTTCTGATTTCCAAATAAGCTTCTTGAATTCAACACCAATATTTATGAATGTTATTATCAAATTGAGAAACTGTTGTACTATCAAAAGGATATTTTTTTTCTTGAGAAAATTCATCAAATTCAGCAAGAATAGTTTGAGGATCAGATCTGGTCCAAGCTTTATAATAATATACTAGCCATTTACCCATATGTAAATAACTAATTTGTGATATAATTGGTGATGTGAAATAATTTGTTTTATAAGATGGATGAAGAAGCCAAGAAAGAATTAATAAAAGTTGTTCTCACAATTTCCATCTTTGTTGTAAACGAACTAAAATTCTATTGGCCATATTATTATCTTCATATTTTTTTCAAAATTGATAAAGATATGCAAATCTATGTAAAACTTCATATAATCGTGCTTTATCAGTTTGCAAAATATTAAGAATGCGACAATAAGAAATTAAAAGTTGTTCTAATTTCATTAATAACTCCCAAAAGTTTTCATTCATAATTATAATGTAAATATTATATGAAATTGTTAATGGATCATCAGGTCGACATCATTTAGTTGAATTTGATGGTTCAAATTTAGTAGCTAAAGACTAATATTAAATAAAATTATTAGTTTTTTGTAAAATAATATAAAAAAAAATAAAAAATAAAAAAAAAATACCCGCAAAGCATTTTTGGTTGCTATTAAACTTGTACAACTAGTAAGATAACTGTTCCATCGTATATCTTCAAGAATCATAGGCTAAATATATTTTCCATAAATTTCTTCTTGAATATTTCGAAGCTGTCTAATAAAATATTTATTATTTGCATTTTTAAAATATACTGCTATTTTTAAAACTTGAGACGATACTGTTTTAAATTTCAGTGATACTTTGAATATTTCTCCTATACATAAGTTTATTTAATGCATAAAACATGGCAAAAAGACAATATTACGATATTGAATTCGAAGACGTAATCTGTAATATAAAGAAATTGATTTTAAATAATTTTTAATATTAAATAATAATAAAAATATAAATTTACTTACCGTGCAGCATTATATGCTAGTGCACTATCTGTAACAATAGCCAAAATTGTTAAATCAAGTTCCCTAATACTAGTGATCATTTCTTTCATTTTTAAAATAACATTTGCAGTTTTTTGCCATTCGCCACTCACATCTACCATTTTCCAAATATAGGGTTGTCCATCAGAAGATATAAGAACCATACACATTAATTCTTGTTTATGTACATTAACTCATCCATTAAAAGAAAGTATAATGCCTATCCGATCTGATTTTAACTTCTCAATTATTATATTATTAAGATCTGTGACTGCTTCATGCAAAATTTTACCTGATAGAGTTTTTCCATCGGGTAATTTAATTTGAAGGCTTAAAAATCTAAAAAGTTCAATTACTTCTTTATTGTTAATCTAAGATAAAGAAAAGCCACAAGAAATAGTAACTCGCAATAATAGTAAATAAAATTTTTTTTTATTACTAGAAAAAGGTCGAGCTACAAAATTATCTATAGCTCCATAATTTGATCAACTAGTTGGTAAAGAGGATAAGGAAGACCGTGATGATAATGAATCTCTTCGTATTATTTTAGGTGGTTGATTAGTTAAGGTTGAGTCAGATGTTACCTCAGGTGATAAATCATTTACTAATAAAAATAAAAATATCAATATTATATAAATTAAATAAAAATTAGCAAAAAGAAAAAGAACTTACTTGACCTTTTACCTAAAACTGTTTTTTTTTGAGTTGCAAGTGAAAATATCTCTTCCTTTTCTTCTTGACTATACATGTCGGCAAAGTTTAGATAATTTTTAAAATGAGTTAAAATTCGTTCCATTTTATCAATAATTGTTTTTAACTCTGGATGGTCTTCACCATATTTATTATAATAAGCTTTACAGTAACATAGTTTATTAGTGCTGCCGCTTTTTTTATTTGTTAAAATAATGTGGTCTTTTAAATTTGCATCATACTTTTTATAAAATGATAGTAAAACTACCACCGTCAATCACAAAAATTAAAACGTTACATTTTTTAAAATTTAAAGTGTTCAAAAAAGTATTCAAAAAATGTGTTTGATGCATATATATATATAATTTAAACTTTACATCATCGTACAAATTATCATATGTACGTACTGTACTAAATCATAATAAATGTCATTGTATACCTGTACTTCCCTTTGAACTGTACTAACGCTATTTGTACTAAGTACACTAGTACTTTGTATGGATACTGTACTGGTACTAAAATTTTGATAGTACGGTGTATTACCACAACCCTGCTCTAGCCGATATAATGATAATACTTTGCATCCGTCCTGCCAAAATTAAAGACTTGCGCATATTTAATAGAGGTGTAACTGGATACGCAAAAAACTGAGGCCAACAGGATAATCCTCAGATATTTAGATCGTTAGAAAGAGATGAAAAGCAGGCTAAACTTCTTCTTACTTAGATTCAGGATGCAATTTCTTCTGGACAGTTGAGGGATCCAGGAGTGCCAGAAATCAAATGGTTTAATGCATTTTTGAAAAAAGATAGATTTCTTCCTAAAACTGGTAAACCACTTCTTTCTAGCTATTTGCGTAAATTAGAAGCAGTATTTGCGGTCATATTAAATGGTGCGAAGAATTTATCAGAAGCTATGACTATTACCAGTCAAGCCCTTCGACATTCGCCAGACAACCATGCCTTTCTAGTGCAAAACTATACTATAGTCAATTTTCGAAAAAGAGGATAACCTTATGATCAGGCAATGGCATTCGAGCTCTTCAATGAAAACTAATCACATAGATAGGTTAGACAACATTTATTAAATTTTATTTTTTCGTTTGCCTAAGATCTAGCATATATAAAATATCACAAAAATGTTAACTGATCAAAAGCATTCATCTGATAGTATAGCTAATGAGCAAGAAGTTATCAGATGTACAAAGAAAACAGCCTGATTATTTGAACTGGATGAGCAGAACGCAAGAGCATATAGGGCCTTTGCAATAGAAAGGGAGGAAACTCCAAAAAAATTAAAATTTTTAGTTTATAAGCCAAAAATGTTCCAAATACTATAATTTGTTCAGATTTATTATTAACTCATTTTTTTATTTTTTTTTGAGTTTCCTCCCTTTCTATTGCAAAGACCCTATATAAAGCACTCTCTAGACAGATTCAGGAGCTTGAAAAAAAATTGGATAATTATTATTCTGAGTATAATAGCTTTAAAAAGATGGTAAGAAGATTAAAGAAAAATAAAGAAGATCTATATATATAACTATTAGACGAATGTGTGAATAGGGAGACTGTGATCAACTTAATATATAAAATAGTTCCCATACTGATTAATGAAAAAAGTAAGGGTTTCTTCTATTTATCTGAGTCTTCAGAATAATCTGATTCAGTCAAGACAATTGTGATAAGAGAAAATGAGGCTATCCCTCATAAGTAACGAAGGAAGGCATAACCAAAAAAGGTTAAACAGTTAGTGGTTTAAAATGGGTCTCGCCAGCTCAGAAAATTTATCCAAATTTATCCATTCTTATCGCTTAAGTAGTAATGAGTAATACCTGCCTATTTTGAGATCAGGAAATAACATGTCTATTATTTTTTGACTAATTCTACGGCAACCTTTCAGGCTAAGATATTCTAGACTATGTAAATACTCTGCGATAGTTTTAAGAGTTCTATCGAAAATAAAGTCAGCATATTCAAGATCAAGATATATGATATTAGAACATATTTTTGCAATTTTAGAAATTGACAAATCAGATATATGCAGAGCTCCAAAAAGGTCTAGATGTTTTAAATTGTGACAGGATAGAGCTATTTCTTCTACAGCTTTGTCTGTAATATTGTAAAATTGAAGATTAAGATATTGGATATCTGGATATGATCGCGCAATAATGCATATTGATTTATCACCAAAAGCCTTTATACTATAGAGTTCGAGATGTTCCAAATAACGACAATGTGCAATTTTTCTGATGGCTATATCATTTATTTCATCACAATACTCAAGTTTTAAACTTCTCAGATTTAGGCATAAATCTGTAAGGGTATAAATAACAGTATCGGTAAATTTACTAGAAAAATGAATATCTATAAGTTGGAGGTTAGGATGGGATCGTGCAATATCATATACAATGCTATCAGTGATATGATTCTGATACTCACTAATTCTTAGATATTTTAACCCATTGTATGACCGTGCTATTTCACAGAATGATTTACTGGTAATATCTTCGCCAAAACCAATATCTAAAAATTGCAATTTATTACATTTCTTTGCGATTTTAATGATAGAATAATCAGTTAAGCTCCTATTGTTAAAAACGTTAAGATAGATCAGGTTAGGATATACTTGAGAAATATTGATTAAGGTCGTATCATCAAATCCGTACTTCGCTTAAAATCTAAATGGATTATGTTTGAGAATACTTTGACTATTTTTTCAATTATCTCATTCGAAAGATAAGAATAATGCATAATTATGAGGTACTGCACACTATGTCTAAAAATCAGTCTAAAGTTTATAAGTATCATTTTTATAAACTTTTCCTGTTGTTTCTCACTAATCAATTCGATACGACTCCATAAAATTGGATCAGTGCATCTAGACCAAAGTCTAGAGACCAGCAAAGTTGGATATAGTGCATTATCTTTAGCTAAGAAATTAAAAACATTCTTTAGTAATTCAGGAAGAGCAAGCACCATATTTTTTATCAAGGTATACTTACTTTAATAATTTCTTATTATGCGTTTCTGAAACTTGGTTATTATATCAAGTCTAACATCTTTGAGCCTAGGCTGGAGATTACCAGCTCAGAAGATTTTTCGTTTGAATATGAAGTATATAATATACACTATTTATGACACAATCAAGCCTTATTTATTTGTCAGAACTATTAGAACAGATTTTATATTTCTTAGCAATAGATAAGTCACTATATCTCACTCTATATATTTCCCAATTGTGGTACAGATGCAGTGCTCCTATTTTATGAAAACGCATTGAGCTAAAATGGGAAAATAAATGTCACTCTCCATTGAAAAAATTTATGAAAATAGTACGAAAAAGACAAAAGCCAGTTTATAGCTCAAAT